ATATGTTTCCGATGGCGGTCCTTGATCACAAGGGATGTCTTAGCAGATGTTGGGGGGGATTGCTAAGGAGCAGTCGTAAAAGGTCCCTAGATGGTGCAAAGGCGCCATGCGCCTTCACAACGCTGATCAAACCCGTGAGTCGATGTTATTTGCCGCCACGCAGTTCGCCTTCAATGCATTTTAGAGAGGCACAGCAGGCCTGGACTTGCAGGCCAGCCCTTGCTATGTAGTAGGCGCAAAACGCCTGGCTTGAGCTGCATTTTGTGGCGTGGGCAATCGGGGGCTTTTTGCCCTCATGCACAAACTCGAACAAAACTGCATTCGGCTCCTCCTACCGCGTCCCTAAACTGCATTTTTGACTCGGTCCAAAGTAGTTCTCCAGGTTCAGGGTCCCTTGCGCTGGCAGTGATGATTGCTACCGCTCATTATTGCGCTCGCCAATGATCGGCCAGAAATTTATAATAGTAGTAGTTGCTGTTAGTTCTTTCTGAAAAGCTGTAACTCTTAGGTAAAAAAATGATTAAGCAGCCCCTCGCACAAATGTGTCCGGTCGTACTCTGCCGAATAGACCCTCCGTACTTCGTCCCCAAAGCCAGGAGCGAATTTTGCCTCGCGGATGCGCACGTGCGATTCGAAAAATGCGCCTGTACAAGTGTATGTAAATTTTCTTGGCGAAAAGTCGTGGTGTGTCAGCGCGCTTGTGCGGCAGCATGTTGGCCACAGTTGCACGCGGCAAGCAGGACCGTAGGAATGTATGGCTGTCTTGACGTAACTGAAAGCATATAACTTGGTATCAACACGCGCTCATGGAATGGCCGCGGAAGATGAAGCGCCTGGCGAAGCGGCACTTTTCGAAAAGACGTGGCGCCTGCTTACATACGCAAACAGCATCTTTTTTCGTCTGAAGTCAAAATACAAACTGTCGCAAATTAAAGATAGCATACACAAAATTAAACATAAGAACTGGAAAATCGGTCACAGCTGTGTAACTGAAATGGACGCCGCAGAAAACTTGGAGCAGGTTTTTTCTGTGCATATGGCCGCTCCTGCGTTAGCCGTGTTGCAGCAGCTCCGGAAGGACCTCAGCAAGCAGCAGGCTCAGAAGCTGCTGGACAACCACCGTAACTTTCTTCAGTTGGGCACGTGCAGTTTTGGTCGGCGGGGTCAAGCATCTTACGCATTGCGCACGGAAGCCGAGGTGCAGCGTCTCTGCAACATCGCGAACATATCCGGTACGCAGTGGCGCGCTTGCCGAGCACAAATTGAAGTTGGTCGCATTACACCAGTCCACAAAGCATGCATGTGCGCCAGCAGATGAAAATGTGGCGCACTTCTGGTCAAGGGGTGTCGGTCTGCGTTTACGAGGTAAGGCAAGAAACAGGGAGTGGCATAGCTTGGGTCATGGCCGTGGTACTGGCGCACGACCTGTCGTCTAAACTAGCCCGCATTAGTCCGCCTCATTTCAGTACGTAAGTCATGTCTGTCAGCGTTTACGTGGTGAGGCCAGACTAAGGGGCGGCATACTTGTGGTTATGGCAGTGGTATATGGAAGGACCGCTCATCAAGCACCTGCCCGCATTAGTCCGCCCTCTATTCAGAAACCCATATTGTAAGATGGTGCCATTTCCTAAGATGGTGACCGTGGATAGTGGGATGACGAGGACCATTTCAAGCGCCCACCGTGTCCATGTACAGCTACAATGGTTGTGTAACTGTTTGCTGCATAATACCCCATCCTACAGGTC